AATTTCATCCTCTTTCAAAATGAATACATTTACCGTTATGTACTGTCGGACAGACGAGGCGCTGAACGCCAACAGTCAAATGACCAGTAGTAAACTCAACTTCAGAAAACTTGTCTGTTTATGCAAATGTCAATTATGGTAAAAATTTAATGAAAGATTTTTATTCGCAAATGTATATATACACTGTACACGGTTTATGCAGTTGGTTGATACTACACAATGAGAAAACAAAATATTTTTACAAGATGAATACACATGTGTACAATGGCACGCAAATTATGCTGCTCCAGACGTAGGTAAAATTATTATTTGTGGAATTGTGGTGAACTGTTCGTCTGTTACTAGTACAGTTGATGGTTCTAGTGTTGGCTCCTCTGGTTCTGGTAATTCATAGTTTGGAAAGTCTTCAGGCCTTAAATAAAGTCTTGCAAAGTTGACTGGGTTTCCATTCCACTCAAGGTAGTGAGCTAGATCGGCAGGAGAAGGAGAATTGTCGCATTGGTACCGTACCCCATTTAGGTTTGCGTAACCGCACTGACTGTCCTCATCGTACCACCAGCCAGTATTTTGGAAATACTGCGAACAATTATCTACAATTAATTATATTTACTTTATGATGAAGAACAGTTTATGCGATCGACGAGCTGGGAATAAATGGTTCAAACCAATTCTTCTGTCAATGATATTTCTATCATAACTGAGAGTTATTTGATTTAAAAAATTGCGCTTCTAAACTAACATTTATCCGTGTCATAAGCGACAAATCGAGGTCCAATGTCCCCATCCCAGCGAGCCCATCCGTCATAGTAAGTTTGTTCAGACCCTTCACAACCATATGGTATATCAACAGCATAACCGGCTTCACCAGGAAGCAACTTGAATTTCTGATAAGTACAATTGGTGCTTATCTCTGGTTTCCTAACTTTCTCTGGTCTTCTCTTTCCAGCACAACGGTGCAGATCAACCCGCAAGCTGAAAAACGAGTATACCGTTCCAGTGGCATAATTAAATACTTTTAACAGGAGTAACACTTTTTTTGGCAAACTTATAGAGCTTTTCGACTGTAATTTTTCACTTCTGTGAACCTTGTATTCATCTCGTTGGTCATCTTGTAGATAAATTCTAAACCGAGCCAAATCTCTTGGCTATCGGGCATCCCAAAGCCTTCAATGTATTCACTATAAGTTTTGTTGACGAACAGACTGCCGTTAGAGGCACTCATTACTGTCCATCCGCCCCCCAAATTGGTCATATCACAGTAAACGGAAACTGGACCATACATTGGAGAATTAAGGATGTTATATGCAGGCCTTATGCTGAAAAGTGAAAGATTTTGTAAGGAAAACTACGATAAACAAATAGCATAGAAAAAATATGACGAAAAGTGCGAAAAAGAAAGCAACAAACATGTAGACTCCATCCTCGCTGATTCCGTGATATACCATTAGGTCTGCACAGTGACGTAGCGGTAAAAATTGATCGCAGTTACTGCCATCGTTGTAATATGGATGACACTCGCATTGATAGGAGCCTAAAACAATCCTATTATAATTAAATTTTCTAATTTTAACACCTAAAGTTGTACACTTTATGTATAATATCTTTGTTGAAATAAATTTTTAGCAAATTTGTGTACTGTTCGTACCTGGGGTATTTTTACAGATTCCGTGTCTGATATTTTGGTTACAAAGCCTCTGGTCCTCGCATTCGTTGACATCAGAACAGGAATATCCATCACCATCATAACCCTGAGAAAGAATGATAACTAATGTTGATTTTGAAACTTCTTTTTTAAGTTATACAAATGCAAAAATGCTGAGTGATGATGTCGTTTAGCTCTTACAGTTTTACATGCACATTGATAATTATAGTACTCGTCTAAAACACAGTTAGCATTTGCACCACACGGCCGGTCTTCCCAACTGTACGTCCCATTAATACAGTAGTTGATTTTTGTGCAGCCATCAGTCAACCACTGGTCACTAGCTGAAAAGGAGCAAAAAGTGGAGTACATCTCCGAATCTCGCCTCAACATAAAAAAAACATATGTATTTCAAGTCAAAAAATACTTACCGCTGTGATAATTACCATCATCGTCTTTGCACCCGCATTCATCCAAAGGTACACATTTCAGTTCATCAGGATTCGTATCATCCAAATAGTATCCGAAGTCGCATTCGCAACCTTCCATACACGCTTAAATAAAGTCAGTTTAAGTCACAATTGTGCGACTATTTGGTCAAGTAGTTCTTTTGCCCAAAACTAACGTTCACTGCAGACTGGCGAATAGTGTGAGTTACTACAGGTTAGCGGACAACCGGTAGCACACGACTTGTATTCTGCATGTTGTGGGCAGTGAATCTCTGGACAGTCCTCTTCCATTCGCCATGACAAGGGAGTGTCTACAAAACACTGATTGACACACCTAATGGAATCGTTCGTTCGAAAGTATATTTGAAAAGCACAATTCAGTTAAATTGAAAAATCCAATACTATTTTGTAAGTAGCAGTCACCCAGATGTAAACATAATTGTTTTTATAATTACTTGGGAGTTCCAGCTGGCAAAGTCTAGCAAATGATGCAAAGACGTCACAACGTAATGTGGAGTTGTAGCAGACATCAGAAACACAGTCGTTGTAGGCGTCATCTATAGTCGACTCTCCTAAATCCTTACATGCAGCGAAAGGACCCTCCCCATATTTAGAGCGGATGATGTCGGCACACTTGTCTTTCACATCTTCCAGTCTCTAAAGGCACCATCATTATTCTTGAGCTATAGATTGTTAATTTTCACTCACTGTGCACTTCGTTTACTTTCTTCTCCATTCTAAAATTCTTATTTTTTTGCTCATTTTTAGACAAATATACTGTGGATTCACTTGAACTAGTCAGTTTATGCAGGATGGTAAAGGGGAATTTTTTTGTTCTCTCGAACATTCTCTCTCAAAACTTTTGGACGACTCACACAAGGGATTGAACCGTTAGTGATTTCTTCTCCAGTTATACAAGACTTATCACCATTGGTAAAATCAGTAGTAATCCAAGAGTCTCCAAATTGTTCAGTAAATAGTCGCCACCTGTGAAAGCACCCAGTAACATTGTACATTCCACCGTCCCTGTAAAGTCAAGGCTGCTTTATAACGGAGTTACCACAGCTTCTAGAATAAATCAGTGGTAAAACACTGGTTTACAGCGCAGTTAGAAAAAACCGTACCCACGGACAAAGTCATTTGCGCAGTTATGATCCAGATTTCCTCCGAGACCGCAAAGCTTGTCAAACCCTAGAAATGCATCATTTTCGGGAACACTGACACATAGGGTGTTCCAGTAGAATGTAACCACAACATGCTCTGTGTTATCAATAGTAATCCTTGAGTTGACACGCTTTACTATAAGCTGAAAAACAGAATCGCCAGTGTTTTCAGCGTAATGTTTAAAAGTACATTTCTATTGATTATGAAAGTGGTTTTTTAAAAAGTATGAAGAATGTATGTCGCTGATTTTTGAGGGACAAGAATTGTAAAATCTATATGATTAAGGGAAATTTCTAACTGTGGCATTTTTTTCATTGGGATAGTAATACGGCAGATTAGTTGAAACCCCGTCAACTCGGACTTTTAAGTGCTGGTCGACATAAATCTTTTTACTTCTCATCATCACTTCAACCTCCCTGACGGCAGTGACTCTGTAAGTATGGAAGCACTGTGAGTTTTTTTTAGTTTCTTTCGTCTGGTGGCAATTTGTTTCATATTTTATTCAACCGGTCGTCGTTAAGACACGTAAATGCTTACTTGGATCCTGCATATATTCGTGCGTTTCTAGCTTTAACCTCGAAGTATTCATAAGGGTAAACCGAGGTTTCATTACAGGGCTTCACAAAATAGTAAGGACATGTACCCATATACTCGTAACTTTGCTTGTCAAATGTATGGTAATGAGGATCTCCATCCATACATGCTCGCACAGTTTTTAGAGAACATCCTTTTTTATGAAATGGGTCGCCTGAAATTTTGCTGAATATTACTCAATTAGCTCAACCTACTCTGACTCTTGAAAGCTCAAAAAATTTATTACATATAATTAAATATAATTACTTTTTCACAATAATTTTTTTTACCTGTGTAACCTTGTTTACAAACACAGTTAATCTGATGATTTTGAACGTAACACTTTGAGTTTGGACCACAACTGTCCGGCTTACAGGTTACCTGCTTTTCGCAGTTTTGTCCTGTGTAATCCTGCTGACACTCGCATCTGAATTCAACTCACTGAGTTCTCCTGACCATTGTCAGTAGATTAGAATTAGTAATAATTTTATTAACGACCTCAGCAAGGCCACTTTTGAGCTATTTTTTT